TGTACACGACGATGCAACTGTTTTGTTAATTGTGGTCGTATCCAACAGTAAAGTGCTTCATAGTTTAAGCCTAGCTAAATCAACACTTGAATGACAGTTATTTCCGCACCAACTATTAGCTGGTAAGTAAAGGCATGTGCAACGGTACACCATTGTAGTAGACCACGGAATCACCGGATGTGATAAGTATGCAGCCCGTTCAATAGCCTGAAATTACTGTGGGATTACTTGGGGGGGGGGGTCAAAGTTCACACAACAGCTATCTGAGTAGATTATTTGGAGTATCCATAATAGAATTGAAAGAAGACTCGTCCTTGGCTTTCCCAAATACTAGACTTACTGTTCCACTACATTTTCCGTTAAAAAAATTATATTCCTCTCGACGAAACCATGTGGAATGGCAAAACCATCACTTCTGACACACCTCCACTCTTCCCGTATTTCGGTGCAAGGTCACGCCAAAAATAGCCACCTGACCACTGTTGATTCAATAAGACCACACGAGTTTTCGATCGGACATACAAATCGACAAACAGTACTTAATCCGAATGTGCACTATGCATGAGTCAGAAGCACTACATGAATTGACATGGATTGGAAAATTGTTTAGTAGCATGACTATGACTATGACGATATGCCCATACAATAATGTCAAACTCTTTCTATTTGTAACTCTGAGAAAGTCTCTTGATACTGGGCTCAGCGAAACTTTGACCCATATTCACTACGTCTTTGGTGTCAAGTTTTAGAAATTTTGACGAACATTGCAAACACCCATTTTCACGAACAGTTCTTCAATCTTGAGTGTCTTTTGCAACCATCAGTATTTCCGTACTGTTAGTGTTTTACTGTCCATCTTGATAAGCTGATGTCTCATCACAGAACTACGTCAAAACAGTTTTTGGTTTCCCTATCATTCCGGTTATTACGGATCTTGGCCGTAAAGTTCCATCGTACACGCATTCTCATAATCAGTTGGGAACTTTCACTGATCAAGATGAATAAATATAGAATCGAATCGTGCAGATTTAACAGCCTTCCGGTGCGTAGCTACTGTGCTATCCGAAGGAAGCACGGGGACTGAGATGCTTCCAGGTTACCCAAGCCTAGGTAAGAGCAGTCGAGATGTCGAAGTCAGGTTCGGACCACGAACATTTCGGTTAGTAGGTTGAATTGAGCAGATGTCCAGGTCATGTCTGACAGTGCCTCTGTCCCCTAATATGCCCCATCTCGTGATTACCTTCAAGGGAGACAACACTTACCAGTGCAGCTGAGTTTGATTCCTATGACTTTCACACTTTGCTGCTTGTCTTCCTCACACCTCGTACGGTTGCACGAAGAGGGCTTCTTGTGGAAGTCGATTCACTGGTGTTACCCCGTTACCAAGCCAACTCAGTCTATGGAAATTCAAAAACATCATCCCTAATGACCTGATGTGTACATTTATTCGGGCCACATACCATAGACACTAATGGTTGAAGACTGCAAGTTTTCTGACGTTTTCATTTCACAGTGGTTTATACAAGTTTATGCAGGTTTATGCAACGTACTGTAACATCGTAAAGTCGGCCCCTGACAGACAAGCTGGTGTCGCATCTACGGCACGGATGCTTTAGGTTGACAAACGCGGCACTGACATTCTATCCGGATGCCGACATCGTCTGGAGCTAGGCTGTCAGAAATTATATATATATATATATATATATATATATATATAAAACAAA